ATTTTGTGAGCCAGATGTTAAATGCAGCCCTTATTGAAAATTAAATTGTATAAACTTAAAAGTAAACACATCATATTAAAAACAAAGGTAATAAATACTTGAACTCACCATCTTCTATTTAGTTTACTACCTCTTACCATTGTCTGTGCTTTTTGAGTTATTTTTATCCACTATATCTGTGCGTTGGAAACATTCCATAATGATTTGCTGTTGTGATCTCTTCCCAACTCCAGTTTGGTGATGTCACATATTGCTTGAAATCAGCCACGATGGAGGAATTCACACCATGGAAATCGGCAAATACTACAAATCAGGGCTTTTAACCCACAGAGCCAGTTGTTAAACACTTCCCAGCACTTTACAGAAAAGTGGTCTTTCTGATGAGCTGATATTTGAGCAGAAGCCTGAATTAAAGGTGGACATTAGTCACTGGAATATCTGCGGGAGAGCAACGCAGGCAGAGACCTGAGACTGCTTGCTTGACATGTTGAAGCACCAGCCCAGAGAACAGCACGGCTGACCGCAGTGAGTGATGGAGAAAAGTGGCAGGCAATCAGAGGACAGATGAAGTAGAACATCAAAGCCCGTGGCAAAAGACACAGATTTTATTCTAAGTACATTACGAAGCCATGGGAGAACTGAAAAACACAAGAGGGACATGATCTGATTTATATTACAAAGGATCACTCTATTGTATGGATGAAAACAGACCGCTCTATCAGGTGGTGGTTCCAAATTTCAACTAGTAATTGAAATTACTAAGAATTACTCCTTGCTTGTTAGAAATATCCTAGAACCATTGATATTGCAACCATCTTAAGATTTAAATACAGGCAACACAGAATGTAGCGCCTAGTGCCTACAAGGGCTCATCCCTACTCAGTTCTCTCCTCCTTCCTGAGCACATGGGCATCCTATATGCCAGCACCCTTTTGGTTCAGTGGGTTTGGTTCACCTTGGGTTTAGGTGATGAGTTCTAGCTAATGAAATGTGAGCAGAAGTGATATGTGCCATTTCTGGCCAGGAGCATTTAAGAGCCATTGTGTGACCTCCATGCTTTTCTCTTCTCCTTCCATGGTGACCACAGAGGCCACATATTAAGATGGGGCAGCTATAGGGGAAGCTTAGGATGTCCGAGTGGCTGTGTGGAGTGTAGCATCCATTGACCACCCTGGATGTGTAAAATAAGTCCCGAAATTTAGTGATTAATTTATTACTTCAGCTTGGCTTGGCCTATCCTCACTAATGGAGAATGCCACGCCAGTAGGACTTCCACAGTAATAGCTATGTATTTATTTATTTATTCATTTATTGAGCACTTACTCTATTTCAGACACTATGCTAAGCATTTTACGTGTATTTTCTCATTTAAGTCCCACATTCCCCCATGAAGTGGATACTATCATTGCTTCTATTGTAGAAATAAGAAAACCGAGGCCAAGAGAGGTTAAATGACTGCCCAGGGTCGCCCAGAGAATAAAGGGTGAAATCAAGATCCAGTCCCGGCAACCTAATCCTACCTGAGGAAAGAACCAACAGCCACCTGATTTTATTCATTTCTTTATCCATTGATTGGGCACTATACAATGCTGGCTCTGGGTAAGCAGAGATAAATAAGACACCATTCCTGCCCTCCAGGAAGTTAGAGTCCAGGAAGGGAGAGCTCACAAAGAGAGAATTATAATGGAATCGAGCCTACAGGAAAGACGGGAGAGGGGAACATGCTGAAAAACGCCGGAGATGCAATCTGCAAAATCGGCACCCAGAAACCGGACAGGACAAACAACCTCGTTGCAACAACAAATAAATTGCAAAGACAGTGAGGCAGAACCTACAAAATAAAAGAGACCTAAAAGACTTATTGACTAATAGGAATATTTTTTGGTTCCTGATTCAAGCAAACTGTAAAAAAAAAAACAAAAAAAGACACCATAGACATCTGGAAATTAGAACGCTAAATGGACATTTGATGGTATTAATGAGTTATTAACTTTAATTTTTAAAGTTTTAGGTGAGATAATGGTTTTGTGGTTATCTTTAAAGTGTCCTTATGTTTCAGAGATGCATGCAAAAATATTTATAGGTCAAATGATATGGTGTCTGGATTCTTCTTCAAACTAATACTGGAAGGGGAAGTGGGTGGATAAAACAAAATTGACCATGGACTGATCATTGTTGAGCTGCGTGACGGTTACATGGGGATCAATGTTAGTAAATGTTTAAAAGTTTCCAAAAAAAAAGTTTGAGGACAATTTCTGGCTGGATACAAAGGAACTGCCAGAATCACTGACCAAGTGTCTGGGGACACTGGAAGGCTTCCAAGGAAATTGGGATACCCATATGTGAAAGAGTTCTTAGGTAACAAGGAGCATGCACAAACAAATGAAATTATTTTAAGCATCACCTAACACTATCTATGTCAGACATAGTTAATATTTGTTTTTCATCAAGAGCCTGCCGTTATCACATGGACACAGGTTACCAGAGTTCATGGAACTTCCTTTGAAATGGACATGTGTAGAAATGGGCTGAGTGGAACAGGAGAGGGAGTATACATTGGATTAGGAAATCCAGAGACCCAGAGCAAGAATCCTGGCCCAGTCATTAACCAGCTACGTGTCTTGGAAAAGGGCTCTTAAATTTTCAGTCTCCATTTCTTCACCTATAAAATAAGAAGATCTAAGCTGTTCCCTGAGAACTCTTCCTGGTGCAAAAATCTACTATTCCGCATGGGCTTCCACAGACACGAAATGAGAACTGTGGGGTCAGATGTAGGAAATCAGCGCCTTCGGGTCACTGGAGCATCACTGTCAGAACCTCCAGTGTCAGCACCTTTGTTACAGGAGACCCTGGAAACGGCTCAGGCAAGTAGAGAAACGCCTAATACAACCACCCGCTCCACACCGGGAGCAGATGGGAGTAACAGAGTGTGACTATTGTGCATTGTTTTTCAGCAGCACCTAAGATCTTACAGTCTTAGTAAGGAAGGAAAATTTATTTACAATTTGGTAATTTCCTTGTTAAGAGTTCCTCTCTGCTTGAAAAATACTTGCTTTCTTCCCTTTTTCTACAAATGAATATTGGCGAAATCTGCTCCTTGGCCCACTCCCACACCTTTTGAACCACACCAGAGGCTCAGCTGTAACCACCCCCCATCATGGAGGGACCGACACAAACTCAGAGGCCCAGAACTGCTGGATATTTGACACACCCCCTCCCCATCCTCCCTCTACCTTGGCAGAAGGCTGGAAGCTGCACAGACCCATCTGGGGGAACTCTGGCATTTGAGAGGAAAGCAGGGGTGCGTAACACCGGCCTGGTCTCTGATTCTCCGAGTCCTGCAATTTCTGCCCTAGTGTGACTGAGAAGAGGGCTGGTCTGGTGCAGAGAGAAGAGACAGCCGTGTGTGGCAGACCCAGAGAAAACCCCACAGATGGTGAAACCAAGGCTGCACATCCTTCTTCTCCTCTTCTCTGTGCTCCAGTCTCTCAGGCCTTTCAGTTCAGGGGATGGACCACACTGAAAAGAATTTTCCAGGCCGTCTCCCCAATGTCAACCACATCCTTCTTCCCTCACGTCTCTCCTAAGCTTCCGGTGCTCGGGGAAACTTCCTGACTAGGGTGCTCTGTTAACCTGAACCCTCGTGGGCTCTCCTTGCTTTCCTTTCAGAGCGACCAGTTTGTAATTACGTATTGACTACCGTAATTACATGATTAATATGCCTCTCTCATTACACTTAAACCGGTAGCATAGACCCTCGTTACATATTATTTTCTCTTTAAAATTGAAGAATACAGAAGAAATGCATAACTCATATTATGACAGCAGAATATTACGAGGTGAACACACCTGTGCAACCGCCACCCAGGTCAAGAAATGGAACAGCCCTAGAATCCCAGACGGCGTTTTTCCCTCCTTCCCGACGCTAACCGCTCTTCTGACATGCATGGATTAGGTTTGCTTCTTTTTTAGTTTTTAATCTTGACTTTAAAAAATTGCGATATAACTTACATACAGTGAACTTTACCCTTTATATCTACAGTTCTATGAATTTTGATAAATGCATAGAGTTGTGCAACCACGAGCTCAATCAAGATACAGCACAGTTCCATTACTCCGCAATTCCCTTGTGACCTCTGTAGTAACCCCTCCTCCCACCCCCAGCACTTGGGAATCAGATTTTTTCTTTTCTATTAGTTTTTGGGGGTGGAGTCTGACTTCTTTCACTCAGTGTTTGAGAGCCATCCATGATGTTGGGTAGAAAGCAGTTCATCTTCATCGCTCCATTAATACATCATAATTTATTTATACGGATTGTATGAATATACCACCACATATTTAGCCATTGCAGTGTTCATGGACATTTGGGTTGTCTCCGGTTTAGGGCTTTTACAAACAATGCAGCTAGAAACACACCTGCACGTGCCTTTTCACGCTCACGTGCCTGCATCTTTATTCCCAACGACGTGGAAGATGTACCTCTATGTTAGTTTCTAGAAGTTTCATTTTACCTTGCACGCTTAAAGCTGCAATTGCCCTGGAACTGGTATCTGTGCGTGGTGCGAGGCCGGAGTCCGGCTGCCGCGGGCTGCCCAGCCGACCCGGCACGGCTCTGCGGCCCACCTCGGGAATCATCCGTGCGCGCTAAGTGGTTCCGACTCTGGACTGCCCGTTACGTTGCGCCGCTCCGTGTGCCTTAATCTTGCCACTTTGCTCTTCGTTTTGAAGCGTTTCCTCGCTACTCTGCCCGCTGGATTTCCACTGACTCCCAGGCTGCCGTCCGAGTGCGCCCGTCGCAGCGCCGGCGGCGGCGGGGCCTCAGCGGAGCGCCGTGCGGAAGGGGCGGCCTCGGGGCCTCTCGGAGACGCGGGCGACGACCGTGCCGGTGCCGGGTCCCAGCGGCGCCCGCTCGCGGCGCTCTCCGGCACTGCCGCCGCGGCCCTCAACGCCCCGCCCCGCCCCGCCCCGCCGGCCGGAAGGGCGACGTCGCCGCCCCCCACTCGGCGGCCGGGACGCGGGGACGGCAGCGGCTGCAGCGTCGCGGGCATGGACGCCCGGCTGGAGCTGGAGACGACCCGGTGGCTGCTCTGGGACAAGGTGAGGGGCGAGCCAGACGCGCCGGGAGGAGGCGCCAGGTGCTCGCCTCCCGCCCCTGCGCGGCGCCCGGTTTCCTGCGGCGAGCGGCGGTGGCCGTGCTCCCTTCCTTCCCTCCCCTGCCACTCCGCAGCGTCACGCGGGTCCCCCGGGAACACCGAGGAGGAAGATGCAGCGTTGGCCCGGCATGTTGGGAGTTAGGCCGGGACCGCAAGTTCGGGGCTGGGGAGCGAGCCCGAGTGGTCTAAATGCGGCTGGGCTCTGGCTCTGGTTGAGGCGTGCACGCCTTCCTGTCACTCAGACCGCTGGCTCGTCCTCTGGAGTCCTCTGTGTATCCCCATGGACCCAGAATCACTCCGTTGCGCCTATTCTTTTCGCCTCGGGGCAGGGTTCCTGTCCACCCTCTCAAGGGCTTGGTTACAAACATGGGTCCTCCCGGGTGGGCCCGCCTGGCTTCAGGAGTCTCCCTTAGAACTCTGACTGCTGAGAAGGTGAGAAGGAACCCTTTGGACACAGCGTAGCTGTTTGCCTCTTTGTTCCCTGTCTTTGACTCTAGAGCGAGAAGGGATCGGGGACCCAGCTCTGGACATCACTCCCTCTCTCCTCTCTAACTTGAGTCTCCCTCCCTTCTCCCTGCTCCTTCGTGCATATTGTTCTCTTCCCCCGCCCGCAGAGTTCCTCCCTGCTCTCTTCTGCTGACTTTGTTTCTCGCCTTGTGACTCATGTTTCCGGTCTGAACCTCAGTGTGGCTAACAGAGAGTCTTTCCCTGGCTGGGAAGTGTAAATTATTTCTCTCTAACATTCTCTCCAGCCAACTTGGTTTTTTTCCCCTTGTTTTTTTACCAATTGCAGGTCTCACTGCAATTGGTAAAAACAACCACCACCGCCCCCCCAAAAACCCCGCTTGTTTGTAGATTCGCTCAATGTCTGTCTCCAGGGCTGACTTCAGGGCTGCGCAGCCTCTGCAGTCAGGCAGGACCCGTGCTCCTAGAATGACCCGCTCTTGGTCTAATGCTCTCCTGTCCTGTCTTGAAGTTTTTAATTGTTGAACAAGGAGTCACCCATTTTCATTTTGCACGGGGCCCCAGCAAATTATGTAGTTGATCCTGTCTGCTCTCACTCACTTCCGTGGTTTACAGCGCCTGGCACAGCACAGGCTACCAGTAGGTCCCTGCACCATTGGATGAATGAATGAAGGAGATTGCGCTCTGCCAGCAGGGGGAGGATCTCTGCTTCTGTTTATCATTCTCTGGCCCCTGTAAATGAGCAGCAAATCCTGTTTCCGTAATGCTGTTGGCAACTCCTTGGGTGGTTTTCTTTTCCTGGAACTTTGTGATT